ATTCGACTTTTCTCGGCCAACCCGATGCCTTTTAACGTATTTTTTCGCAAGGATAAGTACAAAACCGACCGAAACTAGCCAAAAATGGCCAATCCGAGGTAAACCGCCGCGCAGATGGCGGTGCTGCCATACCGGAGTTTTGAAATTGGCCGAAAAAGGGTTTTAACACTATTTTAAATTTTTGGGGGTATTTTTAAGTACTTGGAGCGTGTTTTAATCTACAAAAGGAAATTCAGGGAACCTGGGAACTGCTAGTAGGCACAACTAAAAGTTAGTGTTCGGACACCGATTCGGGTAAGAATCCTTCACCCTATTTTTTGTTATGGAATTGAAGTTTAATTATAAATAATGTGGTATTTTGTACAATTTAAAAAATTTCGATAATTAATCACATGTTATTAATGGAGTTGGAACTGGTTATTATTCACTGTTAATCCTGTTTGATTGATTTTACTATTTCAAATACATAATATTACACTGGAGTTGATATGATGATTCAGTGGTGTTTTCTTGATGCATGTATTGCTTCTTTTGCGTGATTACAGTTAAATTGTGAAACTGAAAATTAAATATAAATGGAGAATTATTTGATTAAATGAATGATTGAATGATAGCCTTACTAGATATTCTGAGAGATGGTGGATGGACCGGGTACATAGAAAACCCTACCGTGAACATTGTCTCATATCGGACGGGGTATAGGGATGACCGGTTACTTGAAAATGTTAGATAAGAGTTCACGCGTAGTGATGACATCCCTATAAACTCCCATGGTATACAATAAATGATTTTATTTATTATAAATAAATTTACTTAAATTAAGAACTCAATTAGTTGTTTTCATGATTTTTACCAACCTTCATTTCTGTATCGGTGAATAGTGTGACCTTCTTACTAGAATAGTATAGCTCACTCTTTCATTAACCATTTCAGATCAAGAGGATCAAGATCCAAATCTCGATCCATAAAAAGGTTGCGAATAGGATATTTAGTTGTTTACTTTCTATTATTTCTTTGTTTTTTCGTTGTTCTTTTAGAAGTGTTATTTCCGTAGTCCTATTGAATATTATGAATTATTGTGTAAGGAATATAAACCCTAATACTATTATTTCGCTTCCGCATTCAATTTATAATTTATTTCCTTTCAAGTTCTGAGTCGTTACAGTTGGTATCAAAGTCGCGTTTCTCGGAACCATTCCTTACACAAAAATTCTAGGAAACACCAAAGAATGAATTATCACTTAACCATTCATTGTGAAATGCAGATACAGATAGATGATGAGAGGAAAACTCCTATTAAACCGAAGAGCCAAGGAGGGTTAGCTTCGAGAGGATGTTGACCGATTATTTGAAATTCTGAAGAGACTCATCATTGCCCAGTAGGTCTGAGAAGAAAGGAGGGAGCTACCTGACCCTCTCCCGCTACCACAAGTTGAGCCACCCCTACAGCGGGACGATCCTGAACTACATTGGTACAACCCTGCTCATCTGTAGTACCATCCGGCACCACTACTGTATGATCTAATGCCTCAACCACAGTACCACCCGGTACCACCACAGTATAGCCCGTTGCCCCAACTGCATCACCCAGCACCATCACAGTACAATCCGGTGCCTCCGTCATATCATCCAGTACCACCACATGGCTATCTGGTCCATCCCCAGCACAATCTAGTCCCTCTTCCACAGGACTCAGTTCCTCCTATAATGGACCCAAGCTACATTGAGTGGTATAAAGACTAATACATCTACTTTTATCGGGGGATCCTCATTTGAGAGTCGAGTACTGGTTAGCTGAGATAGAGAAGCCTTCACGACTCTTAGGTGATTCCCGAATA